CTCCCTGTGGACCATTTTATTTAAAAATCTATTCAACCATCAATGCCATTAGCTCAGCAGATTGCTTGTTAATCCTTAGGCCAATAGCCAGGTTTCATATTGCCTTCCACTTTATAAACTCTGCTTTTAAAGAAAAAAAAAAAAAAAAGAAACATAGAAGAAACAACATGGGAGTTTTGGTCCCAACCCCAGAGAGACCCCCTATGTATTCATTTCAGGACTAGCTTGCTTCTAAAGTCAGATTCAGAGAATTCTATCATTTGGGTCCCTGGACATCCACAGGGTAAGAAAGTAAATGCAATGATTCTGTTGTGAAAGTAATGAGCAAATTTAGAGCATTAGTCAACCAAATGAGGGACACAGCTCATGAAGCTGATCAATTCAGTAGCCATTAGTGACAAGTATAAATATTTTTCTTGAACTTGGGGACAATCTTAAAAATATATCTAATAATTTCACAAAAAATCAGACACTTAGGCCATCTCTACCCAAATTATGAGCAGTGTTCCTACAATCTCTTTTCCTTGTGTTTTCAGAACCTAATTCCTTATGTCACCCCAATATACATGTGGACACACACACACATACTCATGGGCGTACTTCTTAAGTGGTTCACACGAACTCTGGCTCTTTTAATGTTGAAGTTACGGCTATAAAAATTGGTGAATTTCCTTTCATCACCCAATGAATGAATCCATGGAACTCTGTGTCCACCTTGTTGCCTCAACAGCATAATTTCCCTGAGTTGGAAAGAAAAAGTCTTAGGCCTTGAGTAGTGCATGCCCCTGGCTGGGTCTCTGTGATCCACTAAGTCATCAGGTGTTTTGGGGGACTATCCATGTAATGAGTGGGGGCAAATATAAAATAAAGAATGCAGGTCTTCCTTTTTCTCAAATTCTGATTCACCTATTCAGATTTGCGAAAAAGCTGGGCAGGGCATTTCCGAATGTGTAGTCATTGAGCTTATCTCTGATTTGCTTTGTCTGGGTCAGACCCAGCCAATTTGGTGAATCAGTGATACCATTTTGAGAAGCCAAGCTGACAAAAGCTCTGGAAATAGAGAAGAGTAGAATTTAAAGCCGTCACCCTCCGCCTGTCCACAGTGCTGTACTCATGGTTTATGTTGTTACTCAAGGATACAAATGCTAATCAAGTCTCCCTCTCCTCCAAGGGGCACCATGATCACTTTCTCTATCCCTCTCCGTGGAGGCCAGGACATGCTCAGCATTCAGCGTGTTATCTGGGGCTATTTGTAAAGGCAAACAGATTCCCTCACCATATCCCAAAGGAACAAGAAAGCTTTTCGAATTATCCATACTCTTTATTATGACTCTGTGGTAATGGAGGCGCCTTACATTCTATGAATCTAAAAGAAAATTTGCTGATAATCAGGGGCATTTTCATGGTGTTATTCTATTTCTTTGGTAACTAGGAAACAATTTATCAGGAAAGGCAAGTGGTGTCCTGTAAGGGTCACTGGAGAGGGGATATGGATGCTAATACCCATGCCAAAGGTTTCAGTTTCAACATCTGTAAAAGAGCTAGGTGAGATCATCCTTAGGACTTTTCCAGTGCTGAGAATGAGCCCACCTATCTTTAGTAAACGGAACATTGAATTAAGCAGAATTTTCCATTTCTCAACTCTTCCAGATAGATGAAATAACTTACTGTATGAATTGAAAGTCTTGAGCCAATAAGGAAAACCTACCCACATCCCAGACTGCCTTATGCTGTTGAAGTCGACAAAAATTACTGTGAGGAATCAGAAAAGGATATAAAAAAGAACAACGCGTACCTGGCAGAATTTGTATATCAATGTGTTAGAGTTTGCCAAAGTGTTCTTGAAACTTAAATCTTCCATTACATAACTTTTCGTCACTTTGTTAAAAATGTTCCAGTTGGGTTGGCATGTTTTATGATTTTCCTTGCTTCAAAGATAAGCACGTTGTCAAAAATTAGACTAACATTCCCAGGTATTTTTGAATTTAAAAGGTTACAAGGAGGTAAGCAAGGATGCCAAAGAAGGTGGTGTAAGGACGTTATTAAGATATTTAGAAAGTAAGATGGCCTGTGCCTCAGACAAAGAGATGATAGCTAATTTCAAAAACCTTATAGTCCAAAATTGGCTAGCTCTCCATGAATATAAACACATGCAAGAGTTTGGAAAATTAAGGAAAGATCTGGGAACAAACTGGAGTGTACATGTTGGATCCTTTTCTGTCCAGAAACGAACCTCAATAAGTTTTTCTATTGAATGGCAGCATATATGGTTTGTCTACTGGGATAGAATATTTCTACAAGCCAATAGAGGAGTACTTTCCTCCAGCTCTGGTCATGAATGGATCCAATAACCTGTTATTTGTTTTAGATCAAACACATAGAAAATTAATTTTCTCCTCCAATGGCTTAGACACAATTCATGGTAAACTAACTTAAAGTTTCCTTTTTTATAAAAGACTCAAGGCACTATTAACTGACAATTTATGCATGAAATTCAGGCAGGGGGATCATTAATCTATGACACATCTCTCAGCTCTCTGTATATGGAGAATTTCAAACTAAATATGTGAAAATTTAACTTTTCTGATCCAAACAGAATATCATTATACTTTCAAAACTCTTCAGAGATTTATTCCTTTATGAGTACTTTTACTTGACTGATGCAATTGGCTACTAGGAAAATAAGCTCTTATTTGTATGGATACAAAGATTATTTGGGAAGGAGCAGCCAAGAATGGGTTATCTAATTTGTGAAAGCTTTTCCAAAATGAAAGTGACTCAGACACTCAATAAACGCAATCAATTTAACTTTTTAAAAGGTTGTCTGAGGAAAGACTCAATTTTTTCTATTCTGTAGGGAAAAAAGTACGTGTGATCAGTTGAGTTAGGTGTCACTCTATGGTAGTACTTACAGAGATATATTATTATAACATTCTCCTCCAGGGGGCGTTAAATCTTCAGCAAAGCTTCAATTGCACTGGAAAGACATTCAAATTCAGTTAGCAAAAGCAGACAATCTGGTTTCCTTTTTACTGGGATGCAGGAGTTCTAGGGCCCATATCCCAAATTTTACACGTGAGAGTTATCTGAGGCTTCTAGACTGTATCTTACACTTTTTAGTAAGTCTACAGTGGGTGACCAAAGCCCATGGCCCTAGGGTGTGTGGGGGGAGCCCAGCGTAGCCTCGTTACTCTGCGTGCCTTGTGACAGGTCTTGATGGACTGACCCTGATTATTCTTTCCTGCAAACCTTTAAAGAGACTCTTCCTACAGCCGGGTTTGAGAGCTTTCCCAGGGCAGACATGGACTCCTGGTGATCCAAAGGTATCCTAAAATAGGTTATAGAAAGTCATGTGCTGCAAAATGGCAGAGAATCCCTCTCGCCTACGTCATACAAAGGGTTATTTTTTTTTCAATTAAATCACCACTTAGGTTGGTAATGTTTAAGGCACCAGCAACTTTAGGTAGTGAAGTCTATGACTTTAAAGCAGCACAGTGCAGTGGGTAAGAGGTCCATAGGTTCTGGAGTGCACTGACTAACTTTCATTATTTGGTATATTTCTTATAAACTTAAGGGTCCTGAGCTAATTACTTCACTCCATGTCCTCCATGTCTCTGATTCCTCATTCACAAAGGATTATCACCTAGGGTAGCTGTAAGGATTAACTGAGGCAATTCACAGATAGTACTGACTACTTGGTACATAGTAAGCGTTCCGTAAGTGTTGTCTGTTCCTGTTACAGGCAGTCTCTGGGTTAAAATTGAGATAGGTTGGTTATATAAGTTGTTCTTAAGTTGAATTTGTATGTGAGCTGGAATAGGCATAATTACCTGTTACATATAATGGTTCCCATTCATAGTGTGAGTCGTATTCAGTCCGATGTTTGCGAGTTGGGGACTTACTGCAACATCCTCCATTCATAAGTGTGAGCTGTATATAAGTCAGATGTTTGTAACTTGGGGACTGCCTGTATTCTTTAGTCTGGAACTGACATCCTCACCATATGCCTCCAGCCTTGTCTCGCTTCTTCCCTGCATGGACTCCTTCAGCCCAACCACCTCCCTCTACTTGGATTTATTCCTTTGCTGCTTCTTCCTTCCCTGCCCGCCTCATCACCTCACGAGATCCTACTAAAGTTTCAAGGATTATTTATCATAGACCTTAAAACAAACAAAACCCCGCAATTCTGCATTCCAAGAACCAAATGCGCTTTCTTCTACCTCTGACAAGTGACAGGGACACGATATCTTGATTATGTGGCAGATGTACGGGTTTATATGTTTTTCAAAACTCCTAGAACTGTACACTTAACACGTGTGCACTTTCTAACCTATAAACTCTACCTCTATAAACCAACCCAATAGGAAAGCAATGAGACCTGTTTTTAGAGATAGAAAGACCTGGTTCAAACTGAAGTTCTAATACTTTCTATCCGGCAGATCACTGAACCCCTTTCATTCCCATTTTCTGCCCATGCAAATAGAGTAGTTATTATTTTCTTTTCTTGTAATAAAGGTTAAAAGACTCGGTAATAGTACAGGATGCCTCACACACTATTTGCACTCCGTTGATGCCACGTGATTATCAGGACCTTCCTTCCTAGCATAGCTATTTCTGTATTTGTCACACACCCCTGTCAACCAGACGGCAATCTCAAAGACAATATATGCTGTTTTTTTCTTTTTCATTTTCTCCAGCATAGCAAATAAGTACTTGCTTTCTGTAACTAATCATACCTGAAGAATAAATGCCAAAAAGCATCCTGACTTAAGCCTCTGCAGGATGCCACACTTGTGTATAATCACCTAGCAAGGCTCAGTATTTTAAAGTCTGACAGATACTTTATTTGGCCAATAATTCAGCTATGGCTCCCCAGTGTACAGTAGAGCTTAATAACATATTTTTCATTATGATAGTTCTTTAGGTTCACAAGGGTTGTCTGTTTTTCTTTAGAGCAAGTGGAATGACTGTACTGTCTTCTTGTCCAATAAGTCACTCTGTTTTCCATGGTTCAAAGTTAAACTTTTATTTGGTTTTAAATTAAAAAAATAAATTTCATTATTAAATAGTGAGATGGAGCTAACTAATGTTCAGATAGTAGCTTACTCAGGAATATACCACCAGGGGTACAATTTAAGGGGGTGGATCACCTAAACTAAAATTATCTAGTATGTTGTAGTGTTTGTCAAAAGTTCAACAGTGGCATAATTCAAAAGAAACTGAAATACAAAGTTTGAAAGGTTTACAATAGATGGGAGAAGAAAATCACTTATTCTACTTCAATCACAAACTACTCTCCTTCTCATTGCCACTCAGTTTGGACACTATACCACAGTGCTAATGTCATCAGGTTCATCTGCTTTCTTTTGCCTGCTTGGCAGGGATTTCAAGTATTCGAGGTGTCTCCGGGCATCCTCTTGATTTTGCCTCACATAATATACCACATATGAAATCACCATGGTGAACCAGCCGAACATGGTGACCAGCATGGCATAATCAGTTGTCTTTTTAGGGAGGTTACAAAGGTCAGCATCGTTGGCAGCATTGAGGAATGGTCTCCCGGCATGTTCATCCAACACAGAGGTTTTACAGATCACATTGTGGGCTGTCTCGTGATTGGACGCCATGCTCCTTAGAACTTGCTGTAGAGTGCAGTCACAGTGCCAGGGGTTGTTGGCAATTCTGGCCCTGGCCTTCAAGTTATTGAAGGCATTTTTGTGCACGCTTTGAATCCGATTGTCTGACAAGTCCAAAGTCTGCAGGGTTTCAGCTACTCCTTTAAAAGCATGCTCATCAATAAACTCAATGCCATTTTTGGACAGGTTGAGAACTTTCAGTTGATGGAGGTCCTTAAAAATCTCATTGGGGATAGATGTGATCTGATTGGAGTCCAGATACAATAACACCGTTTCAGGAGGAAGATCTCTAGGTATTTCCTTGAGATTTGCATTGCTACAAGTGACATTTAAACCCCCAGAGGAAGAACAAAGACAGCCCTTGGGACACATACTGGCAGAATGAAAGCACAGTATCATAAGAACAAAACTTTGTAGGAGGAGACACATGGAGAGGGAACGGGTCAACCACAGGTCTACCAGATTCATGCTGGAATGTCAGCATAATCACGAGCCCATTCCTCATTGACTCCAACACATGTGGCAACAGTTCCAGTCCTGTCTGCAACGTTGATTTCCTTCTTTGGTGGTTAAAAGGCTGCAACTAACACATGTGTCTCTTCATTATTCCTGTCCTTGGTTGGGCACCTAAAGGAAAGGGAAACAGATGTAATTAGCTCTTTTGCAGAGGGAGGTACTTTGCAATTAAAAGTGCTCTCAGGTGTCTGATATTCTAAGTGGGCAGGAGCATTAGTTATACAGGTAATTTCGATCAACACTACTGGGAGTTATCTGCGAAATAGTAGAGTCTCCTGCTGAAATCCCAGGTGCTATGGGAGAGAACGGTCAATAAATGAAAACATTTCCGAATTCTATTGTTTTGCTTTCAGCTGTACAGAACTAGAGCAAACACTCCCTGCTTTTCTCATCTCTACTGCTTCTCTCCACATCCTGGACCCCTTCTAAATTCTACACCAATAAAATTTAATTTCATCTTTCATTCTTTTTACAATAATAGATGCATTAATGCAATTTAGCCCTGCACTTGGGCAGCAGTGAGAAATAATGTCAATATTTCATGGCTAATGACCACAGACAGGAAGATCTCTTATGGCTTTTGAATGGATGTCCAGTTTGGGATATTAACTCTAAAGAAACACTTTATTTGACTTAAGAAAAGAATAAATACATCCCAACCTTCACGAATAAATATTGCTGGAGGCTGACCACCAAGAACCTCCAGAACCTCCCTTGTGGCCTTCTGAAATTACATCATAGCTGGGAGGATGCTTTTAACTGAATTTCCAAGGATTTTCTTTGTTTTCTAAATAAATCCCTCCCCAATATATCTTCAAATATGACACACACTTATACTTCTTTTTTTTTGCAGTTTTTGGCTAGGGCTGGGTTTGAACCCGCCACCTCCAGCATATGGGGCCAGCACCCTACTCCTTTGAGCCACAGGCGCTTCCCTATAAGACTTCTTTATATAAGATGAGAGATGAGATATAAGAAAGACTAGTCTCTAAGCCGTCCCCAAAGATTAATCTTCTCTTTTCTTTCTCCATCTAAACACACATGGTGGCAAAAAATGTATACACATATTAAGCAAGGAAAAAAACTGTATCAAAATTATAATATTCAATATATACTGATAACAGAAGATGAATACAAGTCACATTGAACACTTCTTGTCACTTCAGATGTCAAATGTGATTTGAGTATTAAAAGTTTAATTCAGTTTTTTCCTTTCTTAACATGTGTATACATTTTTCAGGTACCCTCTGTATATACAGCATTAATGTTGGCAGGAACTATAGAAACTACAAAACCAAGGTGATATAAGCAAGGTTATAAAGCTCACTCAACAGCAGAGAGCAGAGATAAGAATTAAGTTTACCTTCAAAGCTACCCTCCGATATAGAGAAGACAGCACATCTGTGGGACCAGTTCACAGTGGGGAGGAGTGGATCTCAGAGAGATTATGTGACCTGCCCAAGGTGAAACAGCTTTCAGGTGTAGAGCCAGGACCCTACCCAGAGACTTCGTTCTGAGTCATTACTCTGCTAGCTCTTTCCACTGTCCTCACCTTTCCCTTCTGACCCCATCTGCTGCCTGGGATAGTCAGGCCCATCCAGCATTGCCTGTATTTCTGATGTGGTTATGTTGAAACCCAATCCCCTGTGCTGTGAATATTACTCTAAGTTGAGGATCTCGTGGAGGTCAAGAGGGGCCCTTCTGCATTGTAAGGGGAATCCATGCCTGACTGAGATTTCCTCCCAGGATCTGAGAAACAAGGAGAGAATTCACACTCCTCTTATAGCAACGAGCAACAAACAACTTTCTGCATGAGCAACAAATGGCTTTCTGCAAACTTATCTTTTATGAACATCCCAGATGGATAAATACAGAGGGAAATGACTCCAAATGTTACCAAACTCACAGAAGAGAAGATTAATGTGAGCTGAAAACATAACGGGTTGTTAATCATGGAATAAATGAGATTAGCAACAGCAGAGTGGAGTGGATGTGCTTTTAGAATGTCCCTTAAATGCCAGAGAATGTTAAATTAAAGTAGGACCTCTAGGCTAAGTAAGCCATCCATCAACAGTTCTTTTCATTTGCAGTGGAAGTGTCTTCTCTTTCATGTTTTCCTTCAAAACTGCATTGCATGGCATCTGGGGACTTTAGAAATTGTCTAGATGGGAGAGAGAGAAAATGAACACGTATGGAAGGGAAGACACTCAGAGAAGAAAGAGAAGCAGAAGGACAAGGCCAAGAATGTTAGGAGGAGGGCATGAAAAGACACAGAAGACCGAAGAAATGGATATGACTGGAGAAAATATGGGGAGGGGGCATAACCAAGTGACTTCCATTCACTGAGTATAAACACAGCCTGACACCTGCTAGAAGGTGAGAAGCCTTTTCTGGAGGTCACATGTCACATTTCTCATGAGATGGATTCAAAGACTTGCTGTAGTGGAGTGTTCTCTAAAGCAGACTATATGCTCCCTGAGGGCAGAGACATTTTTCTGCCTCCTGCAGAAACAACACAAAAGAATTACAAGTTGGAAAGTACCCCGGGTTTCTATCCCAGCCTTAATTCTTATTAGCAGTGTGCTCTTGAGGAAGTTTTGCAATTTCCCTAAGCCTCATTTTCCATATCTTCATATAGATTGTAAAAGTATCTAATTACGAAGTTGAAATGAGAATTATATGAGATAATCCATGTAAAGCACTTTGCATAGTGCCAAATAGGTAGTAAAATCTCAAAGCTTGTCAGCTGTAGTTACTATTATTATTCCTGAATACGTCCTCAATGCATAGCATAGTGTTTTGCAGGTAGTAAGGGCTAAATTATCCATTGTATGAATGAAGCAATAAAATATTAAAGAATCTAGCTGTGCCTTTTTTTCTCTATGGTAATTATTTGTGTCAATATTTTTGACATAAACATTGGCTCGTCAAATGTCCATGGGTTTTACATGTCAACATAGTAGACTTTTTTGATGGATTATGGATTCTGTCCATAGTAGACACAATCATCTCTTAGGAGATAGGGGGAAGAATGGAACTCTTTTTCAGCAGACATAGTCATGGTTTTTCCATAAGGATCAGTCCAATGGCCATGGTTACAAATTAGAAGTGTTTAAGACATATATTGAATTCTCTACATCAAATTACAGTCCCTCCTGAAAAGGGTCCATCATGTCCCAAATGGTTCAACTATGCACTGGACGGGATGTTTGTTGGGAACGTCAAGGCAAAGCGTCCTTTGCATTCAAAGATGTTGGATTCAAACTAAGTATTTCATTTTCTTTCTGTGATGTTCGAGAATAAACCTTCTGGGACTGGCTTGATTGCTGCCCACTGTGACTCAGCTACTAGAGCCAGTCCCTTAGCCAGTGTGAAAAATGTAAAGACCTGAGTCTCTGGATGTTGCTATGGTCTGAATATTTGCACCTTCTGAAAATTAATATGTTAAAATTTAATCCCCTATGTGAAGGTATTTGGAGGTGAGGCCTCTCAGAGGTGATAAGATCAATAAAGCAGTGCCTTCAGGATGGAGTTAATAGTCATATAAATGAGGCCCCAGAGAACTCTCTTGCCTCTTCTGCCATGTGAGGACACAGGCAGAAGGTGGCCATCTATAAATCAGACAACTGGCCCTCACCAGACAGCACATTTTCTGGCAACTTGATCTTGAAGTTTCCAGGCTCCAGAACTGTGAGAAATAAATTTCTGTTGCTTTAGCAGCACATCCATCTTAGTAGACTACGACCAATGTCCAGGAGGCAGACAGCATGATCAAAATATCAAATCAAGGTCATCCTCACCAGGGAGGCTGGAAGAGCAGCTCTTTACTTCATGATACTGAACCACTAGTTTCCGAAGAGACTATCAGTATGACTTTGTCTTAAATTACTGGATAGGTCAATGGTGGCTATTGAAAAAGGAAAATATGAGGAGATGTGCCTCAGAGAAGAAAAAGGTGGGCATTCTTCTGACATTGGTAATCATCCAGCAGACTAGAGCTTGAAAACCTAAAACTCCTTCCTGTTCTGCCATGAAGCAAATCTACACACAAACCCAAAGCAGGCACCAGGCAAAAATAGTGCCTCCTTCTCAAGTTTAGAATGAGTGTGTCCAACAGAAACAAGGGCCTGGGATCCCACTGCTGAGAGCACAAACAAACAGCAGTAGCAGTCACTGCTTGTCCTGCTGATAAGGACCAAGATCCCCTGAAGGGACAGCCCAAGATAAACAGTATTTTCTACCTCCTACCTCCCCCTTCACAATTCTCAGCTCATTACACTGCTTTGTTCTCACCCACTCATTCCCTTCATACATGTCTGTGTCAGTCAGGAAGGCACGATATTTCTGGATGTGCTGTTTAGCTACCGGCTATGCCGTAGAAGAAGACCATTTATCCCCAAACTCATGTCTTACTCACATATTTTCTTTTTTCACCACACAGGTTTCTGAGCTGTAGCATTTAATGCTGGGATCGAGTGGCAACCATCAAATACAGTTTCCAGAAGAAAAAGAAAGTGCACTTAGCAGGGTATTCATTCATTGGTAAGACAGTTAGTCAGCTAATTAATACCTCTGTCTTGCTTCTTATTTCTTTGTTCTCATTATTAAAGGATACTCAGGGATGCACTGGGGTTCTAACGTCAAAGCTTTGGTTAACCCTCTGAAATAACTGAGTGTACCAGATATACCAATTTCTTCCAATTTTATAGCCTATGTAACTTTGCTATCAAATAGAAGGATTTGATTAGAGAGCAAAAAAAAAAAAAAAAGAATATAGCAAAACACAAAATTCAAACCAATGTGGAAAAAAAACCCTCATACATTTTATTATTTAAAATTTAAAACTTCTGTATGCCAAAAAGGTAAGGCCAAACACAAAGCCAAAGAATAGGTGAAAAACGAAGGGCTGATATTTTTAATAGAAAAAAGTCCTCATGAAGGAATGAAAGACTAATCCAAACGAAAAATGGAGTGCCAGGCACAGTGGTGTGAACCTATAATCCCAGCTACTTGGGAAACTGAGGCAGAAGGGTCATTTGAGCCCAGGAGTTCAAATCCAGCCTGAGCAACATGATGAGGTCTCTTAAAAACGGAGAGGGGAGGGCAGAAAA